AGAACTGCACCTGCCTGGTCAGGAAACACAGGCAGAACAGAAATTCCACCCCCTAAGCTGCCGACCACGGCCAGGAGACCAGGGAAGGAAGCGAAGGGACTACGACTCCCTCACTGGACACCTGGGCCTGCAGAGGGTCGAAGGCACAAAAAAAAAGGCCTTGCCTTGCACGACGCCGGCGTCACAGTGAGCTAATGGACCACTACTGCCTGACCGGCCAGGGACCCAGTCTGTAGCGACGTCTAAAAGCACTACGAACCTCAGGAAGGCAAGTAGGCAGCAAACCCCTCAGACTACGACGGTCCGGGCCTCGCCCCTCACCGCTGCCACACAGTGAGCACAGATCCCTGTCAGGTCTGTGACGTCCCAGAGGCAACTTTGCTTCGTGAGGACTAATCTGAGGCGCCTCACCTTTCCATTATAATGTTCCGCAAGGCACAGGGGGGTGGGTCCCTCCCATAAGGGGTGCGGCTCTGTGGCCTTGAGGAAGGCGGCAGTTTCAGCTCTGACGTCTGGCTGGCCGGTTTCAAAGGTTCCCGCAACGTGTGCTACGCCACTGCTTCTCCTGGCCAGTTCCACTCACTCGAAAAAAGGAGGAAGGAAAGCACACTGGACGAAGACGAAGAGAAGACTTCGGTGGCAGAGGGTACCTCAAGTGCGCAGTACAGCAATGAGACGGCAGGTTGAGGAAGGTATGGTCAATCTGCACCAATATAGCAAGGACCACTCACTGTCTCAGGCGAGGAGAAACCTCTAGAAGGTCTTCTCTGAGGTGTCTGGACGCCAGACAGCTTTGAGCCAAGCACTTGAAAAGGCTCAAATGAGAAGGACTGAAAAGGTGATGAGCTTGTCGTGGTGGCTCTGCTTTAGTTGTGGGATCATTTAGAACAGCTGTAGGCATCTTGAAATATTTCGTGAGATGGACCCTGTCTCTATGCGCGTTTTCGCTTTGAACCGGAATAGCCGGTCTTCCTCCCCTTGTTATGAAAGGCGAAGGAGGGGCACAGCTCCTTTGAAAGAGGGTGAAATCGGCTCAAGCCGTATACACTACGAACAAAAATCACCATGGACCATGGAAGAAAACTAAACAACCCTGTTCCTATAGGAAAAGAGAAGAAAAGAATAATCCCAAAGGTCCGTTTTGCACTTCCATGTTGTTGAGTCAGAGGGGATATGTTTAACTTTTCAGGCACAAGATTTTCCTTGGTACCTTGATGACATTCCTCCATCTCCAGTCTTCTTTGCTGATGAGGAATATGGTGAAATTTGTAGAACGTTGGATCACTGGAGTAGAGACTGTCGTGGAATTGAAACAATCACCCAAATCTATTTTTCTATCTTTCTCTGCTCCAACACTACTCACAGCAACTAGGTCCACGGCAGATACTATGCCGTGTCTCAAGTTATTCCATGCGTTTATTTCGCAATGGTTTTCAAAGTACAAAACACACACATCTGACAGGAAACAATGTTTCTTTGGTAGTTACATTGGTGTTTCGATCTGGAACCTCCTGGCCACTGGGTTTCAAGGGAGAAAACGTTTTTTCAAAGCCGGCAACTACAGTACTTCTAGGATTGAGTTTACTGTGTCTCTTTCTGTCTTTGGTGTAGCGTGTGCATAACTAATCCCGAGTACCTATTAAAAAACGGACCCCTATTTAAAAAACAAGTCATGCCGGATCCCCCTAAATTCGGTTTATATTTGGTTTAAAATTACCGCCCTTTCAAACCGCTACTAAACTACCAACATGGTCGATTTTGGTGGTAGTTTTTTATTAGGTTCCCCAAAACTCCCTCAAAATAGGTCCTCTCCTAGTAGCGATGCCAGGAGCCCTAGTAGGGGCCTTGCTCCTAGTAGCGATGCTAGGAGTCCCTAGTGCTTCAAGGTCAACAGAATACTGCACCTGCCACGCAATCCGCATTTCAAGCTCCACAAAGTACTGCACCTGCCACGAATTCTGCACTTCAAGGTCCACAAAATATTGCACATCCACTGACCCTATTTTGGGCCCCCCGATTTCAGGGACCCCCTATTAGAAAAAATGCGACCGAGGTTTCCTTATTAGAGGGGGAAGGGGCGTGTTTTTTATTAGGTGGACCGGATTATTCCCCGGCAATGATTTTGTGGTTCAGGTCACCAAAGGATCCGCCCCGCCTAGGTTCATGTGCAATTCCATCTCTGCAGGGCGGCGAGTGCTACTAGTAGCTCTTTCGAACTCTGTGGCCCCTCCACTGCCACTGGAAAATGTACTTCGGCGCTTCCGGGTGCAAGTTGCCTTGCAGCTTCGCAACAAGACGTGGAGGAAGACAAGACTTCAACGACAACCAAGCTCGATCCAAGCACTGCGTGCCAGCCACTCCACTCACCTGGCGCGAGCCCTGAACCACTTTTGTGAACTGCTTCTGTTGGTGGACAGCAAACTTCGGCCTGCCGCGCCTCCTCTGCCCGGGTCGCTTCCTTGGAGGCCTGGTCGGCCGCGTAGGTGAGGAGCCGCTCCGCGTGAGTAGAGTCGGAGTTGGGCGGCGTCGGGCACCTCAGCGTCGTAATGCATGTGTCTGTTTCTTTGTTCCCGTGCATCGTCGTGTTTTTGCGTCTGCCCATCCATTTTCGCACTAATGTAGTCCCTTGATTTAAAAAGGCACACCGAATAATGACACATTTTTGCCTGCACAGATTTATAAAGGCCCCCAGAATAATGTCTTATTTTTTTGGAGGAGTAGTTGTAGTGGGATACTTTTTATTGGTATAGTTTACTTCTTCCCTTTTGATTTGCTTTACTCACCCTCTATTCCTTACTTACTTTTCCTAAGCTCTTTAGTTTTGAAGCTTTCCAAAAGTTTCCAAAAGTCAGCGCGCACGTTCTTTATAAAATCCCTTATTCAAAAGTATTGAAAAACAAAAAATCATTCAAGCAAAGGGGGTAGTCCAGCAAGCAGCTTTCTTACATTATTTAGGGGGGCCCTAGAATAATGTCTAAAGATTTGAGGCTTTAAATCTTTCTTCCTTTTCTTTGCCTATTGATTTGCTTTACTCACCCTCTATTCCTTATTTGCTTTTCCTAAGTTCTTTAGTTTCGAAGCTTTCCAAAAGTTTCCAAAAGTCAGTGCGCACTTTCTTTATAAATTCCCTTATTCAAAAGTATTGAAAAACAAAAAATCATTCAAGCAAAGCGGGTAGTCCAGCAAGCAGCTTTCCGACATTTTTTTGGGGGGGCCTAGAATAATGTCTAGAGATTTGAGGCTTTAAATCTTTATTCCTTTTCTTTGCCTTTTGATTTGCTTTACTCACCCTCTAATCCTTATTTACTTTCCTAAGCTCTTTAGTTTTGAAGCTGTCCAAAAGTTTCCAGAAGTCAGTGCGCACTTTCTTTATAGAATCCCTTATTCAAAAGTATTGAAAAACAAAAAATCATTCAAGCAAAGGGGGTAGTCCAGCAAGCAGCTTTCTGACATTATTCAGGGGGGCCCCTAGAATAATGTCTAGAGATTTGAGGCTTTAAATCTTTATTCCTTTTCTTTGCCTTTTGATTTGCTTTACTTACCATTGAAATTGCAGGTCTTTGGATTCAGATTTCCTTTCATTTTAGTATTGCCAGAGTAGCTCCAGAGGTAGCTAGCTAAGGATTCCTTATTTAATTATCAATTATCAATTATTATACATTGTTTTGGTTGTTGAGGGGGGGGAGTTTATAAATCAAGAGTCGACATTAGGGATCCCCACAGCTGCTCGTCTGTGAGCTTTTGTTGGGCCAGTCGCTCCGCTTCAAGACGGCTCATCTCCTGGGCGCGTCAGTCACTCCGTCCCTAAACGTGCCTCAGCCGCGTCGCGCCTGGAGGTCACGGAGGGCGTCCGCGACAGAGTGCCTCACCCGCTTGACTGCGCCACGCGGGCGGCCCAGCATGCCGGCGAGCATCGCGACCTCCACGGGCGTGCCGGCCTCGACCGTGCAAGGTTTGTCGCTGTATCTGTTTTCGTCTCGCGTGCTCTGTCGGCCCCGGAGCGCCCTTTCCAGCCTCGAGCCCTCGCCGTACCCACTGCCGTGCGGCCATGACCCGCACGGCCTGCCGGGTCGGCAGCCACGAGCGACAGCACTGGAGGCAGAAGCACCCTCGTCGCTCGTAGCCGCAGTTGTGGTGCGGCAAGCGGCCCCGCCTCTTATGCCGCCGCGGTACCTCGGGTGACGCTGCGGACGTGTCCTCAAACTTTTCTGGTCCGGCCTGCTTGTGAGCGAGACCTCTGGCCAGCGCTGCTTGCTTCCAGCTCACATTGCCGTCCGCAAAGACAGTGGCTCCACGTGCCTGATCCAACAGTGCTGAGGCCTCAATTTGCGCCCTGTGTCAGTCAGAGGTCTACTGTTTGGAGCTGTCAAGACACGCCTGCCCCGCCTTTGAGCTCCAAGAACCATAACGTGCACTCAAAGGACTTGTGGAGTGGCACCTGGCTCTTCCTGGACTTCTCTTAGCAGTTTCCAAATTTGGTCTGCGAACGCATTCATTGGTGTGCGATACAAAGAAGCACATTGGTAGCTGCCTGAAGTTCCGCGGACAGAAAACCTTTGAAGCACACCGAAGAAGCGTTGCGTGAGCCACGGGGCTCGTGCCTGCACCGAAACCAATTCACGTCCACAAGAAACCGCCCAATCAAGATCCGGCTGGCAAAGAACCTTAGTTCCTCAGCATGCACGTTGACTTGTTTCTCGCGCAAACTTCCTGCCAACCTGTATAGTACATATAGATGTCTCCTTCGTCCGAAACTCAGCCCTTCACTAAACTAAAATTCGCATCGTTTCGGCCGAAACGATGCGACAAACAACGGATCCAAACCTCACGAGTCAAAACGTCACACGTTTGAAGGTCAAAATAGCGCGATGTGTATGTAAAATGTCCGGTCGGCAGTACCTCCATAGATTGGCTTCCTTCAAACGTGCTCCGTTCAGAACATCCCGATGTCGCTTTCTACCAATTGGATGAGGTTCACCAATTTTGCCGGTCCAGAGCACCCTTGTACAGCCACTCCATGCCACCCAAAATGACCTTCTTGTAGGGCCACTTGCTCTTGTCCTGATCCTGACGGCTGACGGCGTGGCGGAGGCCGGAGATGTGTGGCGTTGAAGAAGACACCTGCAACACGTGTCCACGAACTGCCCCAAATCACTGCTTGTGTGGGGGGTTCTTTGATGGCAATAATCTTCTTCCACTGAACCCTCCAATCCTTAGAAATGAAGTCTGAGTCTTAGCATCTCAAGCGGGCCAACTTCTTCCACCGGTCCCCCCGGCGACGAGGTCCTCGTTGATCATCAAGATGTCCTCAACCTTGAAGCCATACTGCTCCACTAAGACCTACCACTGCCAAGTGCTTTTTGTGCAGAAGAAAATTGGCCTTTTTGTTTGGGTCCATGTCATTGAAGTGACTTAAAGTACGATATGTTCAAGCGACTCGCACATGTTGTTTTGTCTATTGTGCAGTCCATGTCACAGGTGTCATGCTGGATGTTCTTGTTGGATGTTAAAGGCGATGTGTGCAATTGGTGGATGACATGGTGCATTCGGGTTGATGGAACGAATCCCCCCATTTGGACTGTGAAACTTCTCCCAGCTTGGGGGGTGTCTCATCAATCAACAGTCTACATCGCTGGTAGATGGTTGCTGAAGAGGCCCTACTGAAGAAGCTTCCTAATATATCCTTTGGTGGATATAGATGGGTATATGGAAGCTGATGGTGGATATACATTAGCGGATATCCAATGGAAACAACAGTTGGTTAGACAGATGATAGATGTATCTTAAATCCATTGGATATCTCATAAATCTCATTGGTTGGTATCTCCATTCATATCCATTGGTAGATATGGGTGGATATCTCGGCTCGACTTTGCTAGATGTTTAGCCGAGGCCTGCCAGAGCTGTTCGGTAGTGCTTGAGATGGCCCCATACTGCTTGTGACAGACGGTCGGTCTAGTTGGTTGGAAGGGGGTTTTCGGCCGGTCGGTGCTTCGATCAAAGAGGAGGGTCAGAGTGCCATGGGGCATGGGGCAATGGAAGGTGAGGATTGATTGTTTGGAGAGGAAAAAAGAAGAGAAAGAAAAGGAGCAAAACCTTCTGAAAAAGAAAAAAAGAACAAGAGGGAGGGTTGCTGTTGCCTTTTTGGAGAGGACCTTCTTTCTTCAAACAGGTATGCAAAACACGAGGCTTGGCGCTTGGCGCAAGCGCGCCCAACCAAAGCGCCTTGTAGAGGTCAATGTATATATCTAGATACTCGCTGAGTAAAGACATGGGTCTTCGTTTAACTCAGGACCTTTGGCTGGTTTGTTATTCTATCTCTTTTTGGGAAGTTCTACTCAACTTAGAGCAGTCTTCCAATCCACTATGGGATGCAGCATACATAATCATACAGCTATAGGTGTTGATAGAAAGTGGAAAAGGACAGCACCTGTTGCCCTACTTCGTTTCTGGCTCTGAAGAAGACTTCTCAGGCGCTTGACGCCGGACAAGACGACTGACGACTGCAGAATCGATGACCTCACCTGATGTCTGGGACGGCCATAGAACGGGCTGCATGTCATACATGGAAACCCCCAATTCGGCCCCACCCCTGGCCGTTTTCTCGGCCCCACCCCTGCCTGGAACCTGACCGGAAAACCCACCGTTCGCTTCGCGTCGCTCGCACCCCCCGAAGCACACCACGCTCGCACCCCCGAAGCTTCGCACCTTCTGCATGTTGTTGACATCATTGATGCATCCACGCAACTCCGCGCGCGTGTTCCTGCGATGGGACCCATCGATTCCGCACCATAAAACACGGAATCGCGCAGCGCAGCGTGGACCGAGGAAGCCGGAGCCGCAGCATGTATCCAGGTTTGAGTGACACCTGGAAGTCTCTTTGAAACGAATTCTGTTTGACAAAATGGTTGGGGTTCCATCTGCCGGTGGGTACAAACTGATGAGCCAAAAGGAACACACTTCTCATCGCTCAGCGATCCAGCTAATAGATGAGTCAAACTGGAAGCCTTCATTGATCACCTAAAACCGCTAGTGTTGGAGGTCGGACACCCATGATGGTGATGTATGACTTGTTCAAAGGTCGCGGCGAAGAACCAAGATGTGTCTGGCATGTGTCTGGCATGTCTGGAACTTCGCAGGTCTGACCTATTCTGCATCAGAAGTCCCAGACCTAGACCTACACGGGACCCCGACAACTCACCCTGGAAGTGGAGTGAAAACCCGCCTGTTTTGAAAGGAAAGCCATCTGAGGTGAAAAGACAACTCGAGGTGAGCCATCTGAGGTGAAAAGGATCCTTTTTCGTCGCCAGGTAAAGACATGTCTCAGCTATTCAAAGAAAAGGGCTGTGGCACCCCCTATCTTTGGGAATCCTTTGTTCTTTTACTGCAAGTCTCCCGAACGTGCATCATCAGCACCACTGTCATCATCACCAGAATGAACCAGAAAACACCACAGAACCAAAACAACTTCCCTCCGGTTGAAACACCGCGTTCACCGGATGAAACACCGCGTTCACCGTGGATTTCTCCACGTGCTTCACGCGACGTCCCGGTGGGTGTCGTCCTGTAGTTGATCCCGACCAAGCACGCCTTCTTGGCCCCAGTGACCTTAGCACTGTCGGCCAAAAGCCGCATGGCCTCGGGGCGGTGCGGTGTTTGGTCAGGCCTCGGGTCCCCAAAAAACACTCAAAAAATACAGCGAAGGTTGCATGCAGACACGCCCTGTGGCGGGCTGTAAGCACTGTAGTGGCTGAAAATGCTGTGGTCGAAACGAGCCCGAGATCAAAGATCTTCAAGCAAACCCACCCGAATTTCGCTGATGTTAACCGTCGCTGCCCGAAACCCCGCGGAGGAGGAACAGTGGTCCCGAACGGAGTCCCCAGAGCCCTTGAAATCAGCATCCCAAGGAGGTTGAACAAACCCTTTTTTGCCTATCCCATATGTACCCTTCTTCTTCTTCTTCTTCTTCCCAAAAGGTCTAGCCTGTAGCAGCCCTCCAGAAGCTATTCTGGATCCCTCCATATGTACCCTTTTAAAACAAAAGGGTTCCGGTCTCTCAACCCTCAACCAGATCTTTGTAACTGAGAATCTCACGTCGGACGCTCCTTCCCATTTCCCATTTCGTCCCGATCGCACGTTCATCGGCCGCGCAGCTTGAGGGTCCAAGTGCTAAGGAACTATTGACGCTCTCTGATATGGATGTTCAAGTGGTGAAATTTTGGGTCAGGACACATGTCTTTCGCTTGATGATCGTGAAAGGGACTACATCCAACTAACATTGAACCCCAAACCCGTCAGTTTCGTATCTGGACAGTAGTCTTGCAGTCTTCCATCCATCTCTTGTGAGTGAACCAGGTGATGGTGTGCATCTGAAACAGCCCATCCATCCACACCCTTTTCGGAAACAGCCGGGCCTGGTGGCCCTCATTGCTGCTGCAGCACTGCCCCATTGCAAGGCTCACAAATTGGGTGGAGGCCTTTTTTTCGTTCTGACTAGGGCGACACAGCACTGCGGCCAGAGGTATCGCGGAGACAGAACAGCGTGGTGCTGGTGGTGAACACATGGAGGTTCGCCACAACTCGAGGCGTCTGACGCGTCTGGACGTTGCACGAATTCTGAGGGATATCCTTGCCTCAACATGGTGCTAAGCATGTTGAGGCAAAGGATGGGCAGGCAATCCCGCAAAAGGCAGGTACACATTTCTATATATATATATATTCCATACTGCTTCTATCTGCTTCTTCTTATAGTTGGAGGTGAACAGCTCACACCTACAGTAAACCCAAAGTGTGACCTCGCCTACGTCACTGAGGTAGAATCTTGATGTATAATAACACCCCCCACATGAAGAGGTGTTTGAATCCATGTCTGGGTGGGGGTTATAAATCAAGATTCTCAATCTTCAAAAGTTTAAATCCTTGTAAAGCCAACTGGTGGAGTTTCACTAAACTAAACTGTTCGTCTGAACGTCGTTCACACCACTTGCACTATCTGAGATACCTGGTCATTCAAGCAGCTTGGTGGATACTCAGCCAACCATCAAGCGCACATGCACTCAGCTCTTCCCAAGCGACAGGAACCTTCTCGACCCGACCCTAGCCTTCGCCTGATCGCAGCTTCCGCAAGCGATCGCGATCACCTCCGGAAACCTATATCCGTAGGAGCAAGGACGCCACTAGGGGCTCCTGACCTTACTACTAGGAACAAGGACCCTACTAGGAGCAAAGGGCATCGCTACTCGGAGCAAGGACGCTACTATCTCTATTATCATCTATTATCTGTGCTGGCCTGAGGGGGTTCTCTTGATGGTTAACCCCAAACGCTCCAAAACACCTTCCATATACAATGCAAAAGAGTGGTTGATTGGTGTTAGGTCAAAAAAATAGGAAGCAATCAAGTTTGAAAAACTCCGATGTACATGGGTGTGTATGACCCAAAAGGGAGGCCTCCCAAAGACGGAAGAATGTAATGTTTCTTTAGACCAGCCTACCCATCCATATGGATGCACCGTCTTTTGCCCTAACAAAGATGTATCCAGCACCCTTGTATTCCCTCTTGCTTGAGGGCACCCAGCTACCTCCTCTGCGCTGTGTGATTGTTCTGGCAACCAACTCCCCCAGCCCACCCCAGCCCTTGTGTCTAAGCACAGGCATTGCTGCGCAGCCTGCACGCTGTCTGCACCGCATCTCCCCTTTTCTTGCCCAGAATCTCGTCCATGGTGAGGTCAGACATCCTCCGTTTCCGCAACGTGTCCCTTCTCAACCGCTGAGCCTGTTGCTCCGCCTTCTGCTGGTCTCGGGCATGCTTCCTTGGGAAGTTCGGTGAACGAAAGAGACTCCCCGGTCGTGTGTGGCACTGGTCAGGATCTCCTGGTGTCATGACACAGGAACCCAAGAGGGTGCTGGACCAATCCCCTATGTCGAGTGCTGGACCACAAAACGATACACAGCACTGGATACTCTTAAGGTCCATGCCCTCTGAAAAGGCACCAAATTCGGACCCCGAGATGATCCGAGATGCGGAGACAATCCGGTCGAACTCTACCGTCCGCCAGTCGTGCGATTTCGCGCGCGCGCGCAGAAACAGAAACTCACTCACTTCCGCTTTTGCCGACTTTCGGCTCCGAAAAAGGGGAAGAACCTCATGGAAGAACTGGGTATCTTCTTAATATAGGGAGGCACCGAACCACCAAGGGGATTTTCGTCTACTTCCGAACCTGCAAGCTCCACCTGCCAAATCTCCCATACACACCCATATAATCCCATATACCCCTCCGTGAGTCGCTCCGTCCGGCGGCTTCTTGTTCTACCCCGGTTCCGCTGGCGCTTTCCGGCGTCCCGGTTCCAAGACTACCCCGGCCGAAAGCGAACATGGAGGCCCAACCCTGCCGCTGTACTTGGAGGACAACCGTCTGTACGACCCGGGTGCCATTCGACCCGGGTCCATGGGAAGTTTTTCTTGGGAGTGTCGTTTTTTTACGCCATCACGCACACAATGAAAGAGGTATATAATGGGCGTAGGGAATCCATAGAGTGTATGTGAGCTCTTGCGCCAATGCTGAGCGGCCACCTTCAAAAAAAAAGAAACTCTGGAGACTAGAGCTTCGACCCAGGCGACCAGGCTTAGGGGCTTGGGCGTAGCGAGCTTGGCCAGCTGAGCCTCGAAACAAGGAATGGACGTCCCCCACGCCACAGCCAAGTCATGCTTCATCGTTTGGGGAATTCGTCCGTACCCCACGGACTCATCAGGCCCACAGACCCACCCACTCACCCACTCACCAGGACCAGTGGACCGGTACTGCCGAAGCCAAGCGTCCGCTTCACCTCGTCCTGTCGCCTCCGTTCAAGTCGCTCCTTCTTTCGCTGCCTCAAGTAGCTTTGCCGCTTCTTCTCTGCCAGCCTCTCCTGGATTCTCAAGAGATGTCTCCACCTGTGAAGCAGCTTCCTGATTCTTTGCAGCCAGCCTCGTTGGTGTTCCTCCTTGTCATGTAAACTCATCTGCTCACGCTCCCAATGACATCTCTGTCGTAATCTCTTGCAGCCGTGCGGGTGCTCATCCTTGTCATGCATCTTCATCTGCTTGCGCTCCCATCTGAGGCTTGAAGTGCGGAACCTACGTGGCCGGTGTCTGTTCTTGTCATGCATAGACATCTGCTTGAGCTCCCACTGCTGCAATAGCTGGGCACGCACATCAACGTTTGCATCATAGAGCGCTTGCATCTTGCGCAACTGGTCATTCTTCCTATCCAAGCGGTCTTCCCACATGGCAGCCACTGAATTCAGAAAGAGTTCCCACAGACCGGTCAGGTCAAGTGGGCCGTAGTGCCAAATCAGACTCTTTCGAGTCTCTAGATTCTGCTTCATGTAGGCACGGAAAGGCGCCATACACCGGTGGTACTTCATCACTTCTTCCACGCTGGAGGCCACTGGGGAGAAGACGCACCTCCTGCCGCACGCACGTCCAACAAAGAAGATGCCTCGGGCGGACGATCCGGCGGACGATCCGAAGTCCGATCGCCATGGGCCCGATGGATCCCGATGGCTTGAACCCAGAGGTTGAAGAACCGTATAGACTATCCCAGTTGGGTATCCCAGAATGGTCCTATAAGGTCACTTATATAACCTCTCTTGAAGTGTCGACGAGTCTTCTCCCAGACCGGTCCAGATCGGCGAAGACGTCCGTGGAGTCGAAATGGACGACAGGGACGAGGAATTCTTAGCCCCAGCAGGTGCAAGAGCGCATGTGGCACGGACGTGCCACAGCCCAGAAGTGATCGGACAAACAATTTGTTGATCGTTGCCCTCAACAAGTTGCAAAACGATCCCAAACGTTCTGTTAGAAAATGGAGAAACTGGACACAACACACAACTTCCCAACCTTGCACATATGCTGTACACTCCAAAAAGGTTTGCCCCAAAACCATGGCTTCTTTGGACAAAAGCAAAAAAACATCACTGCAGATCGCCTGCATGTTGGACTAAATGCCAGCGTAGCCTTAGTTCTTCATATCTTCGGCCATGCTCCATGGCACAAACTTCCACTGCTTCTTGCAAGCGGTGTTGAAGAGCCATGCTGGAATCCTGCACCTCCGCCCCTGAGGCCTGCAGGGAGGAAGATGCTTCGTGTTCGAACACGTTGATGTCTAAATACGACCACATCCGCTCGACCCTGGCTCATTTGGATGTGTATTAGAGTATGGAGACCTCCCAGATCAACCCACGAAAAGACCCATTTGGCCCAAAGCGCATTGGTTGGGCATCTCCCTATTTTGACACACCCCTATTCGACTGGTCTTCCCCTTCTTCTTCTCGGCTGAGAGGTCTCCCTTTAGTACCACTGGAGTCCACACTTCGTTACGTGAACAAAACTGTAGAAGATTGGAGGATGTCTTCTCCTCAAGTAAGCAAACTGTCTTAAAATACTTCCCACCTTGACAGTTGACATCTCCCATGCGTGGTGTCTGAGAAACCAACCGAACTCGCATGCTTTTGTCAAAAACACCTGCACTCTCTGCTTGATCGAGGTGAGGATCACCAGGAACTCCACTGCTGTTGACAAGTCCACCACTTGTGTTTCTGCTCGGATTCCTCAGCACGTCGAGGGTGGTAAGTGGGGCTGCAGGATCGAGAATGCCGGCGGCTAGCCGCTAGCCGGTCACTAAGAGCGGGGAAAAAAATTTGGCCATTCGGGATGAGCGCAATGGCCAAAATAATTTCGCCACGGAGAAAAAGATTTGCAAAAATGATAACCAATCAACTAATAAAATAAGTAGTAAAAATATGCCGCACTGGGACTAGCAGTAGTAGTAGTAGGAGGAGTAGGAGCAGGACTAGGAGTAGGAGTAGGAGTAGTAGGACTTGCGGTAGCAGTAGCAGAGTGGATATGGAGTTCTGCTTAAAACCAGATTCCGTGGCAGGCCGGGAAGTCGAAATGCAAGGTGCAGATTTCGTAGGCCGTGTGAGCGGGAGTTGCAGCGAATTGTTGTCGTTAAAGCCGAATTTTGGGGGCGTGGCGGTTCGGCGAAAGCAGTCAAATCGAACATGGAAAGCATAGCTAACAGCAACGACAGATATTTTGTTCTTCGAACCGCGCCAGTGAACTGTTATGAATTGTGCTGAACTATTACGATGAAGAAGAGTTCTAGAAAGTGATCCCAAAACATAGAAAGCCAGGACCATCCTTTTACCGTGTTTTACCCACCACTTTTGCAGCCAAAGGTCCAAACAAGAACAGCCTGGCACGATATCCAGAACCCTGCCGCACCAAACCCCGCAGATTCACTTTCTCCTCCTTCCGCCTCACCTGGCTCCAGATATCTAGGCCGCCCGGGCGGACGGAACAGGGACACGACGAAAGCTTGCGAAAAGATCAAAGAAGTTCCACTTGGACAGCAGCTGCCGAACGTCTGGAAAAAAGTGCCGCCTACACTAGTTTCCGACTTTATCAGATAGGCTGTGCGCGTGAGCGCCAAAATCTGTACGACTATACACACGCTGTTGCACGCAAGACT